AAGAAATTCAATATTAGGAAAAAGGATCAAGACTAAATTTTATATTATTAAATTAATTTTATTTGTTCTTATATTTTTCTTTATGATGTTAACTTAATTATATATATAAAATATAATAATTATTGAATTAATTATATTTATATTATATTTTTAATAATTAAACTAAAAATGTATTTAGTGCACTACTCTGTTTTCATTCTTTCTCAAGTAGCTGAGCTTCAAACTTCCAAAAAAGGAAAATGGTGAATACTTATGCGGATGAAGCTGTGCTGACGAATGTAAAGCCTGACTATGATCGAACAAGCGAATTAAAAGCTTTTGACGACACAAAAGCCGGCGTCAAGGGACTTGTGGATGCTGGAATTTCGGAGGTTCCCAGGATTTTCCATCACCCACAAGATAATTTCAAGGTCTCAAGGGATACCCTCTTCAGTATCCCCATCATCGACCTTGAAGGAGTAGGGAAAGACCCGGTTAAGCGCAGGGATGTCGTGGGACAAGTCCGGGAAGCATCAAAGAAGTGGGGATTCTTTCAGGGGATTAACCATAGTGTTCCGGTTAGTGTTATGGAGGAGATGAAAGCTGGTGTTCGTCGGTTTTTTGAGCAGGATCTTGAGGTCAAGAAACAATACTTCAGTCGTGACCTTGCACCATCTGTGGTGTACAATAGCAACTTTGATCTGTTTTCTTCCCCGGCAGCCAACTGGAGAGATACACTTATCTGTCTCATGGCTCCTCATCCTCCTAAGCTTGAAGAATTACCAGCAGTTTGCAGGTATGGTTCATGCTGTTTTCTACTTTTTCTTTTACAGTTCCTGACCCCATCAACTGTTCCAAGGTTTATTGTTTGGTTAGTACTTCAAAACTAGAACACTGCCATATATGAGAAAAGCGTTTTATAACACATCCTCCTGTAAAACTTATACGAGTTACAATTCATATCACATCTAATAAATTGTCTAAAACTTTATGTTGGGTTCGTATATATGATATGTGATTTAGTTTGGTAGTTGATTGCATTATGTGAGTTTATGATTTGTTGATTAATTTTGTTTGTAACTTAAAAAAAAAAAAAAAAATCTAGTACAAAATTGATTTTGTGTTTTTTGGTATTAGAATAATATCGAAGTGCCTAGTTCACAAACCCAATTTGGTTGCAGGGATATAATGGTTGAGTACTCCAAGCATGTGATGAGTTTAGGGAGTTTACTCTTCGAGTTGCTATCAGAGGCTTTGGGGTTGAACCCCAACCACCTGAAAGATATTGAATGTGCCAAGGGCTTAGCAATGCTTGGCCATTACTATCCTACATGTCCCCAACCTGAACTGACTCTGGGCACAAGCAAGCATGCTGATGATGACTTCATCACTGTCCTTCTGCAAGACCATATCGGTGGCCTCCAAATTCTTCATCAGAATCAGTGGATTGACGTGCCTCCGGTTCCAGGAGCTCTGGTTGTTAACATAGGAGAACTGCTCCAGGCAAGCATTTTTGGATTTTCAAATTAGGATGGTCCTATTTCCATACCTAACCAAATATCATGTGAACTCATATGATTTTTGCAGGGCCAAACGCCCAAATCCGCCTCCTAAATAGGGACAGGGACAGATTTTGTCCCTCAACGGAAGGCAAGTATAAATTGCCTTTTTAAAACATTGCTCGAGACATGGTATTTATTATTTAATAGATAAAGTTATCATATGTCATTTTTAGTTAGAAACCATCGACTTTGGTGGTAAATAGATTATTAACATATGATGATGTTAGCTATTAAATAATAAACCATTTGTTTCAATAGACGATTTGAAGAGAAAATTTGTCTTTCGCTTTATATTGAGGGACAAATCTGTCCATAGTCCCCTATTTAGGGGGCAGATTTGGGTTGGGTTGTTTTTGCTGGGATTGCATGCATGTCTCAGGCCAAAACATTGAAATAAACCACAACCTTACTTTATCATACTTTTATTTGTTTTATTTGTAAGGATTACACACTCATTCTAGTCATGATTTTGAAGTTGAATTTTCCCAGAATCACAATTTTAACTAGTTTTTACTGTCCTTGTTTCAGCTTATATCAAATGATAACTTTATAAGTGCAGAGCATAGAGTGCTGGCAAATTGTGTAGGACCAAGAGTATCAGTGGCATGTTTCTTTAGCACCAATCTTATGCCAGAAACGAGGCTTTATGGGCCAATTAAGGAACTGTTATCAGAAGACAACCCTCCAAAATACAGAGAGACAACTGTGAGAGACTATGTCACCTACTTCAATCAAAAAGGCCTCGATGGCTCCACTGCCCTGACGCATTTCAAGCTGTGAAATCAACTTGACAATGGAGATGAACTTGATAGACTCTTTGTGGATTAATAAACATTTGTTCTTTAATAAAAAAGAAATAAGTGTGTGTTTATCATATTTGTAAGCTTTAGCAATCCTAAGGTACATGTACTCCTCGATTAATCAGTGTCGTTAACTATCATACATTATGTACGTAGTTTGTTCATTAATCCTAAGACTCTGTGAAATACATTATTACATTATGTATGTAACCTTTAATTACCTAGTTTCAAATAAAAAAAAAAAAAAGGCGTACAAAATTTTGTAAATTTAAAATCAAGCTCAGTTTGTCTCTAATCATTGGGACCAAAATCAATCATGAATTCAATTGTAAGATCAAGCACGGCTGACATTTCTTCTAAAGGCGGCTATGACTATTCAACACAGTTGCCATTCCTCCCATCCTACAATGACCTCAAGAAAATATCTATTTCCCTTAGATACAGAGGTTATTATAACGTGCCTGGCACTGATAGTTTTTCATTCAAGAATTGAACCGTTTATGCAGGTTATATACCAAACAAAGCAAGAAAATGGTGTTAGCCGGAGATGATGAAGTGCAGGTCACTTTGAAGCCTGAATATGATAGAGCAAGTGAAGTAAAAGCTTTTGATGGCACGAAAGCCAGTGTCAAGGGACTTGTTGATGCTGGAGTTTCTGAGGTTCCTCAGATGTTTCATCACCCACCAGATAACTTTGAGAAGAGTTCTGTTTAAGGGGATAACCGATTTTGTATTCCCACTATTGACCTTGAAGGTGGGGTGGAAGATATAGTTCTTAACGAAAAAAATGGTATCATGTGGGTTCTAAGGACAGTCCTTGCACCTTGTAGCAGATGATTTTTTGTTGCTTCCTTCATTCTTGTTACTTTTATCATATTAAAAATACCCACTTTTCACATGAAGAGATATTGTGATGGATTATTCAAATTGAGTAACAGCATTGGGGTTTTTATTGTTTGAATTGCTGTCTGAGGCTTTTGGTCTTAGTCCTAGCTACCTTGAAGACATGGATTGTGGTGAGGGATTGCTCCTGGTTAAAGGAAACAACCAGTAAAAGAAAAAGGGAAAGTATCTCAGGCAATTAAAAACCAAAGCATAGTACAAGGAAGAATTGGTGCAATGTTCATTTCCATGACCTTAGGCAAAATTCTAGGATCTAAATGTATTCCTGTAATTATGCTTCAGTAGCTATATATATACACAAGTCTTGTACAGAAAATTATCATTAATACAGCTTCAGTATTCTCATTCAGTTTTATTCTTCATTTTCTTCATGGTATTAGAGCAGAATAACATCTGCATCTGAATACTATAGTCTGTTTCCTTCTGCTACATTTGAAACTTTCTTCCATCTTCCATACTTCTTCTGGTTCGAAACAGTTTCATCAAATCAAACAATGTCAAAGAACAAGACTAAGCTTACCATTTAAAGCTTCCATCAAATGGCAAGCTTAGTCTCGGTTAATGTTGAAGATATCAGTTAACAGCAGTTATGCTTTTTTAATTTGTAACTGGTTTATTGTTTTCTGCAGTTAGTTCTACAAGTTAGCTGCATTAGGAG